TCAGTGCAAAGTGAAAAAAAATAAATAAATAAAGAAGTGAAAGAAGGCTGGCGGCTGCCTCCGGACTGCTAGCATTCCCCAAACCAGCATATGACACAACTGTAAGATTTCCAAGGCTTTTGGAGAGTTCAGCGAGAGAATCCTCTCCTCCACTGGCTGCAGCTTCCCCGCTGAGTTAAACTTTCCTGACGGAACCTTTCTCCATCTGGCTCCGGCTCCCAGCGCGTTGCGAGCGGCTGCGGAGGAGAAGGGGATGCAGTTCAAGTCTTATATAACTGGGCAAGCTGGATGCGGGGGCAGAGACTTTCCCTAGAAACGAGAGATTTTTATATATATATAGTTATTTTTAGCTTCCTTTTTCAAAGGAAGGCCAAATACCTCCGACTTTCCTTTGCTTTCTTATTTTGGTATCACTAAGGGATTTTATTTTTGGAGGTAAGGAGCTATTAATAGCTAATATTTTTAGCTATTTATTCCCTCTTTAGGAGAATACTTCCTTTTCCTTTCAGGGGCACATTTTGGACCGCATTCCTAACCCCCCCAACAACAAAACCACCTCCCCACCATGCCCATGGCACCCTCCAGGATTTGCCAAGAGGCTGCCTGGCATTGGGGGACCGGGGAGGGGGCCCATCTCCTGGCGGGTCTGGGAGCTGCTGGTTTCCCCCTCCTGCCCACCGCATCTCCTGCTGCAGAACGAACACTCCCGGCCAGCTCCGTGCTGTTAATTAGCAATAAAACTGAAATACTTTGTGTTATTTTTCTTTTTTAGATTTCTCGTGCTCTCCAGGAGATAAGACATCAAGGCTTCCTGAGGATGTGCTCTCAGGCCATTGGGGCAGCTGCCCGGAGTTTATCATCATAGACTTCATGGAGACAGCTCTGTTTTCCACTTGCAAAAGGTATTTCAGGCTCACAGCAACAATAAGTACTTTTGACAAAAGCTGCTCGCTTTTCCAAAGTAAATACTGTTCTCCCCGAATCTGCCATCACACACAATGCCCTCCCGGCGCAACCTCGACATGTTTAAGACGTTAAGCAGAGCAGTGCCTAAACACCAGATTTACACACTCCGGGGGTGCCTTCACTGCACCTAACCAGGAGTCCCGACAGAGCCCAACCGGGACCACACGATCCAACATCTGCGGCTTGGCCTGCTCAGCAACGCGAACTGGCACCTCCCTCCCTTTTCATAACAGTCCTGGAGCATCGTGACTGCACGCTACCAATCCAAGCTCACTTCTGACAATGCACTTGTCTAAATAACATACTCACCTCACTTCAGTTACAAATGGAGCATTGGATCTTGTAATGAGCTCCACGTGGCCGGGGGAATCCACCCACCTACAGCTCTCCGAGACTGGAACTAGAACTGCTTGAATTTTTCCTACCAAAACATTTTTTCCAAATGAGAAATAGCGTTTCATCTAAAATGAAAATTGGTTGAAATTTTCTGTTTTTTTCAAAGAAATTTAATAAACTGAAAGGCTATTTTTTTAGTTAAAGTAGTTTTGTTGGGGGTTTTTGTTGTTTGTTTGCTTTTTCCTAAGAAATGGCTTTTAGTAAACATATTCTGTTTATAAAAACTATTTTTAATGTTCACAAGTGAAGAGTGATTTTCTTATTTTACCTTTTCCTCAACAAAGGTAGCCTCAAAACTGAAAGGCTATTTTTTTAGTTAAAGTAGTTTTGTTGGGGGTTTTTGTTGTTTGTTTGCTTTTTCCTAAGAAATGGCTTTTAGTAAACATATTCTGTTTATAAAAACTATTTTTAATGTTCACAAGTGAAGAGTGATTTTCTTATTTTACCTTTTCCTCAACAAAGGTAGCCTCAGAAAACAAATGCACAAATAAAAAATATATTGAAGAAAGTGCAGAGAACATTCCTTCTCTCCCCCCCCCCCCCCCCAAAAATTCCCTACAAAGGACTCCTAGAACAATAGGGCCCCACTCTCGCTGTCTTTAGTCAGGCAGCTCTTGAATTAGTGCCCTCTTATGGGACCAGGAGGATGTAATTAATTCAGCTGCCCTGTTACGATACCATCCGAGGCTGCAATTTCCCTTTTTACCGTGCGTGACTCCTAGAAATCCGTTGGACTGCAGACAGTGAAGCGCATTTACCAAGCAGCCGCGCGAGTTCATAACCACTTGTATATGGAAATGTCCGACACCCTCACGGCAGGTTACACGTGAAAGAACCACCAGATCTGCACCTGCAGCTGTAGGAAAGCCTGTTCTCAGCCTCAGCATCCTGAAAAACCCGACCTGTTGGGGGTTTTTTCTCCAGGGAAAACCCGGCGGCATCCTCCAGGCAGCCCCGCTGGCAGCCCGCACCATCCCCCCGCAACTCCCACCTCGCCTCTGGGACCGAAATCACCGCTCGCATCTACTCCGGCCCCTTCAATTTGCAAAGAGCCCGCGCTGAAGTAGGGATGGGGCATTTTAGAGGCACAGGAATTCGTTTGCACGAGAGAGAAACCGAGGCAGGATGGCCCCTTGGGTGCGATGGGAGGGGGGGGGTTCACGCCCGGGCAGAAGGCAAACCCGATCGTTCAGCTGAAAATCCAAGAGCTGAAATACGTTCTCCCCACATCCACAAGGGGAATGAGACGGCAGAGGCAGCCTGGCTGGAGCACAGGGCTACATGGGGCAGGGAAGGTGCCGGGGGATCGTGACCTTTGCAAGCAGGATTCAGACGTAACGGCTCAGAAATAAAAGCAATATATTGGTTTACTGGATTGTGAATGGCACTGGGTCCGCTCCAAACCTGAAACTCCCTCAGTGAGCCCTGAATTAGAAAACTTGTGCGAAGAGGAATGTTTATACGCCATGATTTACACTTCTACCCAAACATCAAACAACGTTTTCAGGGAACACTTAAGCCCTCCAGGTTGGCACTGCCTTACAGACTACTACGAATGACTAGGTTAGCAGCTCTAAGGCTTTTTGCAAATGAGCACATAGGATGAAAGCTGAACTATAACCTTTTCTTAAAAGCAAGACTAATTAAACAAATAAGAACTCTGGGTGAGGCTGTAAAGACATTAGTTTCTTGCCAAATATATTTTCTGTCTAAGATTATAAAAATATAGGAGGTTTTTTTTGGTTTCGTTTTCCAAGATTTTAAGCTAAGGTTCAGAAAAAAGAAGAGACAGCCAAACAGAGCGATTAATTGCTGGAATAATTAGGAAGAACATTAGTCATGCTTGGGAGTCAGAAAAGTGCTTCTCTACGTGGGCAGCACAAGTAAAGGACGTGCTACCATTGACCTGTTTCTTGTAGAGTTTAAGTCACTGTAACTGCAGTCACCAGGCCACACTTTGGGAAAAGATCTCCAACGAACAGCCACGCATGAGAAATGCCAGTTCTTCAACTTCTTAATCCTGGATTTTTAGCTCCATCAAAAGTTGCTGTCTGGGAAATTCCTGTTATTGGTCACATCAGGATCAGAACTGGCTTGAGAACAGGAGCACAGGAAAAAAGGGAGAGGAAGAAGCTACACGTGCTGGCCAAGACCCAGCAGCGTGGATTTGCGGGCGCCTTTCCCTCCCTGGGGCAGGGGAGCACCCGGATCCCTTCCTCCTCCTGCTCTGCGCAGGGAAGCTGGCAGAGATCCTGCCCCCTAAGCCGCACTTGTGGCAGCAGTACAAGGAAATAGCTGGTCACTTTTGCAAGTTGCTCCCAGCTCAGGGAAGAGTTTGTGGAATGAGAACAGCATCATTAATTAATCGTTATTCCCAGCTATTCAACTCACCTTCCCCTTGCAAGGAGTTACTGTGGAGAACCAAGGCAGGAATTTGAAGAGATCCTTCTGGCTGCAGGTGGTTACAAGCATTTTTCCCCGGCTGTTCCTTTCAGGGGGGTGGGTTCAGCATCCCCTAGGTACACATGTCCAGGCAGCAGTGGCTTCGCAGTTCTCAGCATGGACCTTCCTCCAAGCACCACGCAGCAGCAAGCGCCGCTTCAGCGGGGCTATGTGGGCGTGTGCCAAGCTTCTGGAAAGGGAAAGCCTTCGGGGTGGAAAGCCAGTCCAGGCAGGACTTCGCAAACCTAGACCAAGAAGAGGCCTATGAAGCCCACCGTGCTCACAGAATACCTGTCTCCTGTACCCCCACCTGTTAACTCCTGGCTCAGCTGGAGACACAGCTATGCTGGTGGATGACTCCGACACACATCAAATCAAAGTCACACTGCTTTCTCACTGTATAAAGTGATATTTTCACACAAGTTCAGAGTCAATTGCAGTTTAGAGTGATATTCTTGTCTCTAAAGACAGACTACCACCCACTACAAGGACAGCGGCAAAAATACATCTATAGATAGCATTGGTTTCAGTGACACTAGGATGTAAGCTGGTTTGTTAATAACAACAAACTAATCCAATTAGACACCTGTACATTAGGATCAGGATGGAAACATTGATGCAGTCATTCGCTATATCATATAATGGCTAAAATAAATAAAGATAACAAAGAAAGGTTATGACTGTTTTGAAAAGGTGCTTTTATGCCTTTAATATCTCTGCCGGGGCAAGGAAATCTGATATTATATCCTGAACATAATTTACGATTCATTGCTGGGGCTCTGGCCACACCCGGCAGCTAATCTAGAATTTCACACATTTAATGAACTTCATACCTGAAATATGTGGTCTGTAAAATCTGATTTACACTGTTGTTAAAATAGCTGGTGTTTGAAAGAAAATATATTTTAAAATATGTATTTGTGCATAAAGTTTGTTGTGGGTTTTTTTTTCTAAAAAACCCAAACCCAGTCATTAATTTACCCCAAAGCATACAAAACGTGCCCTACAGCTTAATTTCTAGTGCAGTATTGCTTTCAGCACCTCAGATTTACTCGCTACGTTCCTTCAGGAGCAACTGCATTCAGTTACACAAAGGAGTAGAAAGGCCCCACAACGTAATTGTAGGTACTGCAGTCAGTAAGTTAACTTGACAAGTCAGCTCATGATGGAGTCCAGGGTCTATAATTAGTCCTTACCTGCCACCATCATAAAACCGCTGCATTAGGTCAATCCTCGCTTGGGCCGTCCAAGGGGTACCTTGCAATCCCAGTTCATTCAAGCGTGTTAGCTTTTTATTGGATGTTAACACCTGATATTTCCTCCAAGCTCTGGTTTTACTGAGGGCTTTGTGGTGTTCTGCTCTTTGGAGCTGGAATGGCAACAGGAGCTGAAAGAAACGAGAGTGGGAAGAACCTGTATAAATCATTGCCCTGCACAGTATCCTGACGGTGACAGATCACAACAGACACCTAGGCAGGTGAAGGAAATAGCTGTCAGTCACGTGTGAAATACGAGATCTTTCTTTCTGTTGAAGGCTATTTACGGTGAACACTGCACCCGTGAAAATTAGTTCCACACTTCAGTAATGATGACTCGCAAGAATTCAGCTTGGACTTGAACAGAACCTGAGGATTGCGTGCGGGGTGTGGATGTGCGTGACCTGCTCGCTCACACCAGCTGCGGGTCTTCCACTGAGACACCAGCACATTGCACTTCTTTCTGTCTGATTTTGGAAGGATTTTCTCCTTATGGGTTAGTGTCGCAAACAGGAATTTTGCTTAGAAAATTTGTTTTCTGGCTCATTTCTCCTTGTATATAGGAAAGATCAGACATCAAAATCCGAACAGCAGGAAGCCTGAGACTTCTTAGAAGCAAAACGGGGCAGCTTCGAACCAAACTTTAGTCTACAGAGTTGTCTGAGAAGTTCTGGCACTAGTTTCAGCCTAAAATGTAAACTGTCACTTTGGTTAATTTACCTGGGTCCAGCTAAAAGGCAGCAATGTATCTTGACAAATAAATAAAAGGATGCCAAAGACTGGAAAGCGCCATATCTGGAGGAAGCAAGAGGAGGGGCTGATAACGTCTAACCTTGGTCTTTTCAAAATTTCTTTTTCATTTTACAGCCCAGCTGTCAGGGTGCAGAAGGTCTATGTCCCTATGCCACACTGCGAATAATAATTGATAAATGCTTCTTTGGAGTAGCTCAGTTTAAAACTGGTCTTCCCCTTCTCTGTATATTTTACTTACCTTGGACATAGACAAATAGAGGTAAGGAGAAGAACCAGCGTTAGCTTCTAGCTCGCACTTTAGGCAAAAAAATTTCCTTGCTCTTGTTTAATTTTATTCACTGTCAATGTTAAAAACTTCTCTGTTTGTCATTGGGCTTGAAGTAACTGTTCCAGGCTCGAAAGCAGCCAAGATGGCATACTACATAACGAAAGCTACGGTAATAAACAGCAGGATGTAACTGCTCCAGTTACTTTTAAAAATCAAATTAAGAAAAGGCTCTTATGTGCAAATCGAGTGATTTGTATCTACATCTGCATGCAAAGGCAATGTGTACAGACGCATGGAAATCCGGCACCAGCACTGCGAGGGCTGACACCCACGATGCTGCCCGGGGGGAATTCAGCTTTTCCCGGGCTTGCTAACCACCAGCGCAGCTCCAACAGCGAGAGCTCTCCTCGCTCGCGTTGCAGGCTCATGTTGAGGACGCCTTGGCAAAGGAGTGGTTAAAAATACTGGCTGCTCTTCGCTAGGGCTCTGAAATTTTACAGCTCGTGGCGTGCTGGTTGTCAAACATAAGGAGAACAGGATGGAGACTAATAGAGGTGCAGCTGGAGAGCAAGAAACATTTTCAGCAACATCTCCAGGGCAAAGTAAGATCCTACCTCGTCGGGGCCGAGAGCACTGCTGGCAGTGCCCCTGTCCTCGCAGCAAGATGACAGACCAGCTGCTTCGCTGTCTGCTGTGGTCTCTCCTCAAAGGTCCTATCCCTTACCCTTGGAACAAGATCAAAGCCAAGGGTAACAAAAACAGCATAAGCGTGGCCCATTCGAGGTCCCAGTCCCAAATCGGCACCGTGACGATCCAAGGAGAGCCAGCTCACATGTGGGACCTTCCCCTGCAGAGTGACAGTGATGGCTCTGCCTGTGCTGGTCCAGGACGGCAGCCACAGCAATGGCAGTTGCAGGACGCAGCGATTCACTGGAGACCACCGCATCGCAGCAGAGTCACTGCCCGACAGAGGGAATGCTGATCCCTGTAAATCTGCCTTTTATTCAAAACCTTCATCTCAAATTTACAAAGCGCGCAGAGGAACTCTGCCTCTGCGGGCAGCATCCCTTGCTTTTCCCATCAGCTCAGCGCCGAGCAGCGTTTCTTTCCATGGCAGTTACATCTGGAGCAGGTATCACACTTCATCGAGACCATTACATGGCATTTTACATAACGGTATCACTGACGAATGGTTTGGTGTCATTTTAAACAGCAATCCCGATCAATAGCAATTTGCATCACATTTTGACGAGTCACACATTGGTGAAATCTGCCACTGTTCAAAATAAACCCAAAGTGACATGGCTTAAGAACAGAAAAGCCAGCACAGGACTGATCCTTGCCTAACAGCACAGAAATCTAACGCCTACAGCAGAGCTACAGCACAGCAGATGTGAAACACATGAGTAAATATGCTGCCTGAGGAAATCTGAAGCACAGGAGATGCCTGCTCCCCACGTGCCCACCAAGGTGTGCTCCGGGACTACTTCTGAGCTAAGTGGAATCTCACGGTACAACCAATTCACCTCTACTCATGCTCTTAATTTATATTGTGGGTAATTCTACTTTTACCCTGGTAAACAAGTTTCTGGATATGGTTAAGCTACTCAGAGTGTACATTTAAAATAAAATCTGTTTCACATAAAAGGACAAATGAGAATGACTATTACCCCCATCTTTAATGCGCTAAATTCTTTTGCACAGATTGTTCTTGTTACTACTTCTTTCTGTGAGAGAATCTGAACAGCACACAATATTCCTCCTTACGTGCACAATTACAGCAAGCCAAGAGAGGGAGGCTTTAAAGTAGGAATGCAATGGTTTTAAAGCCCTTTTTTGTAACCCACTCACATAGTAACAGCTAGGTCTTAGGCCACAAAGGGAGGAAGAGCAGCAGAGGAGGACATTCTTCTGAAGGCCAGATCCTGCAAGATGCCGATCATAGAATCATAGAATGGTTTGGGCTGGAAGGGACCTTAAAAGATCATCCAGTTCCAACCCCCTGCCATGGGCAGGGACCCCTTCCACCAGCCCAGGTTGCTCAGAGCCGCATCCAACCTGGCCTTGAGCACTGCCAGGGCGGAGAAATCCTAAGGGAGAAGCCCCAATAACTACAATTACAAGCAGCAAAACTTCAGAGATTCATCGTGTAACCTGGAGAGCCCCACAACACCCAGAGAGTTTTAAGGCCAGGAAATGCCAGCTCACAGCCAAGGAAACCACAGCATCAGTTTTGATACTGACCTTAAATAGGTGCTGGACCAGGGCTTAGTGTTGCTCCTAACTGCTGTCGCACTCAGTTTTTCCTTGCAGTACTTTTTTGCTGTGGCACTGATGCTATTTCTGCAGCCAGCTGCTGCTCACACTCTCGGAAACTCACCGCTTTCACGTGCAGTTGCAAAACATTTAGCACAGATGTAATCTGGATCTGCAGTTCCAGGTTTAAGATGGCAGAACCCAGCAAAATTTTTAGATCGAGGTTTATCAATACTCCGCATAGTAAGGATAGGTTTTTCTGAAGCCTACGATCACATTCCTAATTTAAAAACAGACATCTGAATACTCTGTGGAACAAGTAACTTTCCTACAGGATTGACTCCAGTGTTTAAGGTGGGGAGAAAGTCTAATAATCCAGAGAAGAGCATTGTTCTTCACTCCATACTCTGCCGGGGACTTTGGGCACAGCCTGGGGACCACAGGTTCTCTCTGCCCCCATCTCCTGCCGGTGAAACTGGAACAGCAGCAGTTACCTTCCTCTAGCGAAGAATTATCTTGATATTGATCTTTAATGCCATGGTAATGCAGCGGAGAAGAGGCAGAGTAGGTGCACAGCTGCCATGTCTTGAGCCATCAGAAGCCAAAAGACAGAGGGCATATCAACAAGGTTTTCTTCTCTCCAAATGGTTTAAGCTAAAGGGAAGCTTCTGTACATCTTCATACGACACGTGAGGCTCAGGGCCATACTAAGATACCCCATCACCAGCCAGCACCTATTTCTTTTTTTTTTTCTTTAAGAGGAAAAAAGAAAAAGACACACTAGTGTACAATACAATCACAGTTTGAAAAATCAGGCCAGGCATTTTTTGGTAAAGCCTAGGCTGAAAACTTATCCCAGGATGCGTGATCTTCCAAAAATCTGCCAACCCCTGCAGTGTTCAAACTTCTTGTATGACCACAGCCACATGAAGAATGAAATTAAACCCCATGGAAATCTTTGACATTTCTACTATTATGCAATGTTTGGGTGAAAAAAAAAATTGCAGAAATTCTCCTTCCCTTTCCAAAGTGAGTTTAGAAAAACTATTTCTAGCTTTTTTAATTACACATTTCACCATTAAAAAGAAACCATCCATAAATTAAAAGAACCACTAACTAGGGCTTATGTAACCCATTTAGAGTGGGAAATTGGTAACACTTGGGGGTGAAGTCTGTTACTGTAATTTCTGGAGTCTACAGCATTCATTTGATGTGTGCAAACATCACAAAAATTGCTTATTTAATACTTGCATTAACTATCTTATACAAAAAAGTTAATAATGAAAAAGGTTAAAGTGCTGGCATATGCATGCTATAGAATCTAAAAGAACATATTCAATAAATGTTTAATGATCTCAGGGACAGTTTATCAGGGCTTTAGTGAAATAGTCTCCCAAGTTATCGATTTACTTTATCAATTTTTTTGGGGGGTGGTGGTGGTGTGGTGTTTATGGCTCTATTGCATTTTTGGTAGAAAACTGTCGTACCGCGTTCTTCACCAGTGTTACAGAAGTTTCCCCTGCGGAGAACACCCAGCGTTAAACTCCAGCCTCTCCCTCCCGTTTCTGACCCAGCAGCGGGGCAGCCAGCCCTAAGCCGTGGGACTGCTGCTGTGCTGAGCCAGTTACTTAATCAAACGTTCAAGTGATGAGAACATTCCAAAAATAGCTGTTCCTAACATTATTGCATCATTGCTTTTCCGAGAGCAGCATATATATGTTTCAAACGGAAGACTTAGTCTCCTAATTCACAGCAGCGGGTGCCAGCAGGAACGACCATCTTCTCCCTAGGTGGGGTTGCACCAAAAATTGCGAGGACGATTTGACCAGAATCTTCCTGAACGAGCTGTCTCTCTTGAAACTGAATTTACAAATTACAGGGCTTGTTTAAAATCCTCGGGACAGCTGGGTACTCCGGGACTAGCTGGTTGCAGAAAAGGCAGCAGGGAAGCGGCAGCCCCAGGGGTGAAGTTCCGGCTGCCGCTCGCGGCCTGCCCAGCAGCACCTTCTGCGCTCCACGCCGTTCCACTGCGCTGACGACTTGCAGAAAGCGATCTCGCAAGAAGTCACTAATAAAGTGAAGGGCAGCAAAAGCTTACACCAATGCTTAAAAAAAACCACCCACCCAAAAAACCCAACGACTCCCCTCTGCCTCCCCCCAAAAATCCCTTGCTGTTACGACTGTTCAAAAACTGTTTGTAACAAAGAAGTTAATGAAGCAGCTCTACACGGATCCGCAGAAAGTACTGACCATTTCTCAGACACGAATCTCCCACGTGGACAAGTTCAAGGGCCACGATGCAACTTAACCTATATACTCACAATCCTGGCAAAACACACCTGGGACTGATCCCACCAGGACTAACTCAGGTGCATCATGCACGGTGTATATGGATGAAGTAAAGAAGTTGCATAAAATTTATTTTTCCACCTTGTTTTACAACATTCCCTTTTAAGCTTTTACATATCTGCAACATATAACTCCACAGAACAATAAATAATTGGCATTCATATTTCTCTTGAATCAAGAGTATTTACATGTTGTTTAACCAGATGACAGGTACAAAACATCGGCATCACAGTAAGTACCATTTTGACACCAGAATCCATTTCCCCAATTAAAAATTAAATTAACATTTATTTTTAAACAATTTTAACAATTAAAAATGTTCTCAAAGGCATGTAAGTACACAAGTTGTAGTAGGCAGTAGTAATGGACCATATTGACAAAGCTGTAGAACCCAGGATTTCATGCAAATCGAAGAGTTTATTAATTATCAAATAACTAATAATAAATAAAAAAAGAGAAGAGCCCATCCCCCAGCTTGCGCTGAAGATTTTAGTGGGCACTGGAATGGCCCCAGCAACTGTGGAGATGAGTCAAACCCCACCCAAACAGTTGTGTGTAAAGAACTTGTGACGGTGAGCTGCATGCAGTAGTAGTTCACATACCTGGTTTCGAGCACTGCTTGTGCAAACCAAGGACTTACGATGCATCAGGTGGTGCAGCAGCTTTCTTCAAAAGCTAAAGCCAAAAGACAAGCTTTAGGGATTCACACATGTAACCCTCTGGGGCTCCCTGACAAACGCAGCTCAACTGTAGCAAAATTTCCCTCGGCAGTTGCAGAGGACGAGAGAGGTTGTCACGGCATTTAGCTGTGACAGTTCAGCAGACCACAGAAAAACAACGCCTTTGGTCCCACTGCAGCTCTCAGCACGCAGTTCTCAGCACCGAGGGGACACCAGGGATGTCACTCCTCACTCCCCTGCCCAGTTCTGATAAGATCCTGCACAGATTTAAGCTGCTGCTGTTGAATAAAGAACGTTGCATTGCGACGGCCCTATGAGCCGAGCAAAACAAATGTTTGCAAAGCTAAACAAGCTCTATGGAGGAAACAAATACAGAGTCGAAGAAAAAAACCAAAACCTAAGAGGGCTGCAACAGACCTGGACTTAGCGCAGGGATGCAAGCAGAGAACAGTGCAGGTCACACAACCCCCACGCGCACCCAGCACCGCAGCAGCGCAGCACAGAGCGCGGGCTTCCCTAGGGCAGCCCCGGGACGCAGGAGCACAGCGTGCGACACGCACCGCTACGCGGCGGCACCGCTCGGAGCACAGTCCCCGAGCACACACCTTACAGGAGCTGCTACGGTACAGGAGCCAGAACAAAAAAAGGAATAGGAAGAACACTAAGTAAGGCTACAAACAAGATACTACACAGAAGAAGCAAACAATGCTTCACTCCTAATAAGCACAAATTATGAGCATACTAGAGGAAAAAAAAGAGTAAATTAAATCTCCAGCAGAGAATCTATTTATTCAAATGTACAGTAACTATGAACACATGTATTAAACTTTGCTTTCAAAAACATTTTTTAAATAACTTAAGAGAAATAGATTGCAGACTTAAAGTGCTAAACTTGAAAAATACAACAGTCCTTCCTCTTTCCTGCTGTTAGACGGCAGTTTTAATTTTCTGATTGCTTTAAAAAAATACAGTGTATACCCAGATAGAAATTACTTCCTGGATTTACAACCTTGTGCAAAAAGACTAGCTGCAAAGAAATATAATTCGCACCCCAAAACACAGCTACAGATTACTATCAGTTCCACTAAATATGAGTTCCTCATTAAAGTTATGACTCAATAAATATAACCAAAATCACAATTCATTCCCTTTCTTGGTGTAAGCTAATATTTTGCAAATATGGTCCACTCAGTGTAAACTGTATTGACTTCAGGAAACGGTGAATTCTACCATATATATGTCTCGAATATTTACATACAGTAGCATGGCACTGTTATTCTTGCAGGACACTTAACTACACACACACACACTAGATAAGAGACAGGGCTTTACAAAGCTGTGTACTGCGATGAGCTTGCCAGCCGACAAGAGGGACTTGACTTCTCAGTCACAAGAAATTGCCGAAGGAAATTCTTAATTCTTGTATTTAAATCTACTTAAATCAAATGCTGACTGGGGGCTCCAGAACACCTGCATGGCCAACACTATCCATGAGGTGTAGCAAGTCATGATAAAGATGACATCAAGTATCTTTTTGGCAAAGCGGTATCATTCACAACAGGCTGTTAGCCCAGCTCCCCCACTAATGGGCTGTTCAGGCACCGCTTCTCCTCCAGGAGGCAAAGCACCCAGAAGTGTTGGACTTCTAGGGCCTTTCCCAACATGAACATGCATGCCAAATAAGTAGAAATGTATAGTATTATTATTTTTAAGGGAAAAAAACCAAAACAAAAACAACAGAAGGTGGGGAAAGAGAAAAATTTTCAAAATATTATGAGAAGGTGAATACTAAGAATTAGCTTTCCTTAGCCAGCAGGTTGTTTCTGAATGTGATTGCTATGCATCGGGACTTCAGGCAAGAGCCTAATCATAAAACTGGCACAAAAGAAAAGCCAGTGAGTTAGATTAAGAATGTTTGCTGTTTTTATTCCTGAAGGATTTTGAAACATAATTTTATAAACTAAGAGAGTTTCCCCCACATGAATTAACAAGGTCGTACGGACTTGTACCTTCCTCTCACCCTGAGCCACACGCATTATGAAGCGCATCCAATTTCTCTCTAAGTCTTTTGGAACTTGATTCCCCTCCTCTTTGATATTTACTCACAGGAACTGACAGCAAGGAAGGCAGGTCAGGTTGTGCAAAACACTCCCTGGAGCAATTACTACACATCGACCACACAAGCCACAGCTATCTTAGATATGAAAATTCAAGACGTACCACTATGGGTCAGCACAGACTCCAGCTTTCCTGCTAAAACACTACTCCTATTTTCCACTGATTATCACACCAGCCCTTTTTAATGCGGCACTGTGCTCCTTGCGACAATGGAACACCTGTAGCAACGGCAACAGCAGCTGGCAGTCCATTAAAGAGGTTTAGCACAGCACAGAGACGACCACTGAGCTTCTGCTCCTCACACCAGTGTGCTTGTCCTGACCTGGAAGGGCCGCTTGGGGAGGAGAAGGGAGCTCAGGCTCTGGGCTCTGCCATCCCTGGTCCCTCTGTGCAGTCGCCCAACAACGACGCCAGGCAGTGCCAGCTCCGACGGTGGTTTTTATGATGTGGGAACGAGACAGCAAGCAACTAATTTAGCACAGACTAAACAGCCATCAGATGAGGATGGCTGCTACTAAAAGCTCATCCATGTCTGACGCATGGACCCAACGATAAAAGGTTCCTGTAACTCTCATTCTCCTGAGCTGCCTAAGTAGGTGTTGCTATCCTCACGGTGTTCTAGTGTGGGCCAAGGCTTATTATAAAAACAGAACTCATTGAGTTTTATTTTTGAAAACTAAAAATCAGTAAGTAAATCTGCTCTGCACACGAGCCTAACGCCTTCATACAAATCCCACTCCTGTGTCTGTGATTCAAGTTTGGTTTTTAGAGCCAAGCAAGTGCAAGGTTCTCAAAAACTGTCTCTCTGCAGGGAGCGTGTCACGAACAACATCCACCTAGGAGTGCCTCAGTTTATTTGCAGCTCATCCTCACAGTTTCACCCTAACAGGAAACAGATTTCGTGTAGCTGTGAGGAGTAGCAGCTCTGTGACCTTTCCTTTCAGTCTCCGAGGATTCAAGACACGTCTGCCACATTGTCTGCAGAACAGTACGAGTCTCTTCTCACGTTGTCGACACATTTCAAGTCTGCTCAACTGCAAATTTCTTTTCCAAAGAGGATTTGCTTTAGTTTAGATAATTTTCTCCTATACAAATAAATACAGAGTAAAGCTATTAAGTCACCAGCTCCTTCTAACAGGAAGCACAAAAGCTAAACAAAACTGAATTTCTTCATTTTGGACTACATTTCTGCATATTGATCGATGACTGGATACCTTGAAAATCACTAGGGTGACCACATTTCAACTGAAGGCAAATCTCAGACATGCTCAGATTCTCAAGTGAGCGCAGATCCGACATGCTGGAGCCCCACTATAGAAACAGCATGCCGTAAATCAGGAATCAGCTGTCAGCAGTATAGTGCATCACCTACATTTAGGGATTTCCAAGATGTAAAAAAGAAAGTAACTACTTCAATCAAAAAGATAAATAATATAAACCAACATAACACAATGCAAGAAACAGCACAGATACTTAAAAAAGTAATTTAAATTTGTCAAATGTAAATTCCAAGGTCAGTTAGCAGCTTTCAGATAGTTTTAACCACGCATGAGAAACCCATCGTCATTGCAGTTACACGCATCTGATCCCAGTTAAGTTGAACAAAAGGGACAAAAACTGGATGAACTAACAAGTGCCACTGCCCTCAAAAAACTTCCCTTCTATCATTAGGTTTCCATTCCCGGCAGTTGTGAAGTCTTTTTCAATAAAGCAGCATGTAATAGATTATCACATGATCCTTATGCAAATATCAGACGTATTCGTTATAGAAACAACTACATGATTTTTGTCTCTCAGCCATGTGCAATATTTGTCTCTGGTGTGCAAGGAGAGCAGCCCTAGGACGTGAGCTTCGAATAGCTTGGGGGAGAAAACCTTCGTCTCAGGTACTTCAGGACGTAGAGGGGAAGGCAGCTCACCAGAGTGATGACGGTGACTTTCCATAAGAATGACAAAGTTGCAATGAAGTAAACATCTGTAACCAGAAAAGAGCACAGAGTCAATGAAGACGGAAGTACGTTCCAGGAATAAATGCAATTCAGTCTATCAATGCTTCTTAAACAGCCTCACCTTCTCCACATGCAAGCTCAAAGCTCACATGATCCCTGGTTCCTCACTCTTCTGCCCTTCTCTTCCACAAAAGATACAGCTTTATATATTTCACATCTTACAGCACATCTCAGTCAGGCATGCAACTCCTCAGAGGTAAGTGCCCATACATACCCCATCTGAAACAGGGGTATCCATCTCCTGGCAAAAGTAAGCTTCCTTTGAATGGACTACTTGTCTTCTGACTCTGGGAGCTGCCCTCTGCTACTTTGCTGGTGGTCCAGCAAATGCATTTCTTGACTCAGTTACAATACCTCAGAATCATTGCAAAAATAGTTGAAGCATCATTCAAACTGGAGCTGGTATACCCATTTGCAAGAGATCTAGCCCACTGGGAAGTTATCATCATTGTCTTTAGAGTTAGCAAAGAGCTTTATGGAAGAAGTAGTGACATCTTGTGGTTCCCAAACGAACACTGGAACAAACCCTACGGATCTGATATCTGCAACTAGGCAGCTACTGGGGGAATCTGGAATTCCGCAACCTTTTTCCTTTAGCCAGAGAAAAGGATTAGCTTTGTTTCAGGCAAATTAAAATAAAAAACAAAATGCAAACCCACAAAAGAAGGGCCCCAGCAAAGCAGATAAAATAAGGTAAGTTTTAGGAGGTAGCTCCTTCACCCAGTTAGAAGATGAAATCTTCCAAACCACAGTTAGAAGATGAAATCTTCCAAACCAACAACAGAGGTTTCAATTTCTAGTCTCAAGCTCAGTGCCCATATGGAAGTTAAGGCCGCTGTTACATATGACAGCTGATTTGTGGTGGAGCTCTGAGAGTATGGATGAGATTCAGTGGGCAGCACACAGTCTACTGACCACCTTTAACTCCTCTAGCATTTTGCTATGAGAAGGAACAATAAAATATCTTTTATGCACCTTCAAATCAAATAGAGCTCAGTCTGGTCAGAACCACTGCCACTGTAATTACTGTTGGCTTCATCAACAGCCTTTCAGCCCACTTCGGCTCTTTATAGTCCTGTTACTATTCAGGTCATAAAGTGATTGGAGAAAAGGCATTTAACCTTACCAATAAACTCATGTAAGAAGACCAGAGAAGCTATGTAGCAGGAGAGACTAAGCAGCTCAGCCACTATCATGAGCCAGTGCCATGTCTGGATCGTCAACGCCACCATCAGCAACTCGGTGAGAATCAAGGATGTGAAGGAAATGGCAACAATGTGGACAAATTCGGATTCAAAGAGGAGGAGTGCTCCATACATGATGATGCTACCTGCAAGGGAATGGAACATTTAGGTATTTTATTCAAACATCAGTCTAAGCTCTAAAACCCACTGCTAGGTCTTGGAAAGGCTGAAACATAGTCATGTCTTGAGACTGTTTTTCATGAAACCTGAGGAATGTAATGACAATGAATCAGTTACTATTTAGGAGACAGAACTGATGAGAAGATAGGGAAAAGTTACAGCAGAGGTGCCCAGACTTTTATAACAGTCTATCATATTCATAGACACATGGAGATAGGAAATTAATACATGGTATTTTGGCAGCTGGAGATTTCTAACATCACGGAACTCTGTCCTCCCAGCAAGCAGTTGCTCACTACTCAGAAGCTAAAAGATACCAAATACTTCTAAAATCTACTGCATCGCCTCAGTGCCCAGATGGAAGCAAGGTGTTGAAAAGCTCAGTGGATATAAGCTAGCCTCTCTTTGCACTACTTTGGCCAAGTTCTCGGCCCTCCACACTTCCCCCTAGAAGGAGCACACATTAAAGCACTGTTAATGATGCATTGTTTCGTGCTCCTATTCTGGCTAGCCAGGGAATGCTCACAACACCCCGCACAGCCACCTGCACAAATAACTCATGTTAGCAACATGAGTAATCTGCACCAACATCCATCACACTAGGCTAGCTTCGGAAGGGAAAACCTGCAAGTGACTAGCCACAAAGCTCAAATCCAGCTGTGAACTTTCCAAAATTTAGGACTGCTCAAGTTTTCAGTGAGGCTCATCTCTGCTAGCAACTAGCCCAATTGTTTGGCCTGCTGTTTTCTAGTTATTTAGCACACCAGCAGTGAAGTCACTTTAACCAAATATTGTAACCAGATAGTGGTCTTAGCTCAAGAAGAAATCTTTCCTTCAATGCATCACTCTCTGGCTTTAGCTTTCCACCACTTGTGAGTTTTCTATAAATGCCTTGGCTTTGCCATCATATTTGTACAGCATCAGAAGACCATTACCCTTGTCGTAGGGTTCTACCGTATTAGATTTCAGAAGGTAACGCCAAGAGAGCTTTTATATTCTTGGTTTCACTCCCTACTGAGGATGGTAATATCAGTTAAATCAGTAAGAATTAGCTCCTTATTTTGGCACATTTATTCTGACTTTTGTTGATAAAGGAGTTTTGGAAAACAAGAAATTTCATCACAGAATCATATTGCCATTTTAGCTTTATAGCTCCAGGTTATTTACATGTTTTCCATGATTCCCTGATTAACACTTCAGGAAGTATTTGATTTTGAGGTTACTTGATAAAAAAAGACAAACTGAAAGCAAAGACCTTAGATATATACCGCAATTACTACATCTACTTTTGGAAAATAGGTGCATTGTAATCAAGGCATTTGCTTAACTGTTTCAGCCGCCTAATTATAGTGTATGGGATATGATCAAGAACCCGAGTTCTACTCTAGTCATTCATTACAGATGGCTACGAAGTAACCAGAACTATTGCCACTTCTAATAGACAGGGTTTAGATAAAATACACAAAGCTACAGATTCTGTATTTTGCATGCTGATTTAATAATCTGTATAACCCATAGGTTTGAAAACCTTTTTCAAAAGAAGGGAAGAGTCACAAATTCTACTTTACAGACGGAGCAATTAAAGCATGGAAAGGAACTTGCACAAAATTACAAAGGATGGTCCAAATGGGAAAAGGCACAACACTTCGAACTCCTCCATCATTGCCTACAACAGGGTTGCAACCAGTTGCTATCAATATTTAGTTTTAGATAATTTTTGCCTTTGGTAACACTGCAAATATTTTCCAAGACAAAAAAAAAAAAATTACTCATTATGCCAAGGATGCATTGCTAAATTCATCTCATGCCTTACTTGATTTCCTGCAATACAAAAAATTAGATATTCTGTACTCATTAAAATATCTAAAGGCTCCAACAGAACCTGATTTCTTACCTTGATAGATGCTTATTAAGACCCATATTAAAAATGTTTTGTATGATAATGGTCGTCCCTAGCGGTGGGAAAGAAAAAAAAAGACAAAGCTCTGTTAGGTTTTCTTTTACGACCATTCATTTACAGATCAACCCAGCAATTAATGAAAGAGAATTTGAAGATGACTTGGAAAGAAAACAAAACAAATCAAATCAATCAACCCTGAGGTACTGTCTCTTTATTCTCATTTTTCACAATGCACAAATGAGGCCTGGGACTGTGGAAGCTCAGTGCTTGCACCGTACAGTACAACCTCTTCCTTACCACACACACGATTAATTCAATGCAAACATGTCTCACGAGTTTAGTCATTGTACTGTGAAATATAAGATGTGTGTATACGCATATATATGAATATATTAATATTGTATTTCTAGACACACACCCACAAATCACCATCATATTGAAGGCAGATAGGTTTTTAAAAAAAGCATCTCCAGCCAACACAGCTATACCAGTACAAAAAACCCCCTATGTTTAGACCAGGCCTAAGGATGGTTGGAGAATTAGTGGTTTATGACATAAGAGACAACACACAAGTGAAACCAGATGGAGACTTATTCAGGCTGTTGGAAAAACAGGCTTTGCTTCTGAGAGTATCTGTTTAACAGAAATCCTTGAGGGAAAGGATCTGTTGAAGACTCAGTCCACCCTTTCCTTCAATTAAGAAAGATGTTCCCAGTCTTCATACCCCAGCTATTAAAAAAATTTTCCAGGGGAGGGAAAAAAAAGCAACGTAAGACAAGATTTACCTTCCTGATATTCCTATGATAAATACAAAATAAAATTTTCTTTGTCTAAGGAGGAGGACTTGGACCAGACGACCCACAGAGGTCCCTTCCAACCCCTACCATTCTGTGATTCTGTGACCTGACTTGCACGCTGAAGCTACAAAAAATGGCACAGCAACCAAACCTTTAGGTCGCTTTAGCTTATCCTCAAGGCAAATTTCTATTCAAGAAACTATGTGATAACTTCCTCCCCTCCATCAAATAAGCATATCCCTTCTCCTCATCCCCTTTTCTGGCTTCAGGATAGTGCCAAACCCCCTCACAATTTCTCTTTCCCCTTTATTTTGGAACAAATCGGTAATATTAAATCCATAGAATTTCCCACAGAATGGGACTTCTATTTCCCCAGCCGTTTTTAATAAATTGCATTTTATGTAGCGTTCAGCAACAAACTGCCAGGAACTTTGGTTGTATCTGTTAATTCAAATTCGCCTTTAAAACAAATTTGCTTGAAAACGCATGATAAAGTTTTGTATCTACTGATAACTTCTTTGACTTTACACATTTAGAGAGTTTCAAATTAGATGGGGATCTTGCCTTAAACCAAAACAGACAAAAAAAGAGTCTCCCACACCTTAAGAAGATCTTTGTAGAGCTCTGGGTACAACATTGCAACTTCAGATTTAACATCCTTGTCCAGGACTAGAGAAAACACTGGAAACATCGTGTAAATTGTGGAGTACCTGGGAAGAAGGTAGAAGACCGGTAAATTATCTAGGGTGTAGATGAGCAGACAGAAATGCTAGTCTTCAGAAAGAAAATATAGTATTCTTGAAGTGCCAAATGACGTGCATATTACAAAAATTTGCAAATGGAACAGAGCTTTGCATGTGGGAAAAACCTGCAGGAGCTGCTTTTTGAACGATTTTTTATTAGAAACACTCATACACAGATGATTGGTTCAAGTATTGCAACTGGTGTTACAGGGTCACTAATGGAGCCAAGGACAGACCTGTCCCCACCCCAAAAGTTTGCTCTACAGTTCAGGCTTGATCCTGTTCACATCAGCAGGCAATGGAGATGCATTTGCTGCTTGTTTTTTAATTACGTACTTGAAAATCTATAAAGTCATGGAATTACAAGTGTAATCCCAGTGTATCTTACACAGGAACCGATTCCTCCTGTTAAAGAAGTTGGGTTGTCACCCCCTTTCTGACACTGTGGGGAGCTGGGCACTGGCTCCCACTGCTGCGCAGGCACCAGAGCAGAACAACCGTCCCTCTGCTTTTTACTGGGATCGAAGAAGCGCTTCCTGCAGGATGGCTTGCTCCTCATGTTCCCAGTGTGACAAACTGTCCTTTTGGAAAGGCTTCTGCAAGTACTGGTGCTGCCTCAGTGGCTTTCCTCAGCGCAGAGGAGCAGAAAGGGGATGAGGATCACATCCATCTTCTGAAGCAGTGTTGTGAAACATGCAGAGTGGAGACGTGCATGCCTTGCATGTTAATTAGCCCAAATCTATTCATTATGCACAGGTTTTCCATACTATTAGTAAAACGTGAGCTCTTACCCAATGATGAGAAAGCCTTGGTAGAGAGGAACTGAAGCAAAGTAAAATACTGATGAGAAAACAGCCTAGAAAAGAAGAGAAATAAGCTTTTCAGGCATTAGATACTGTAGTAAAAGTAACAGCTTAAAAATATACTCTGTTCAAACTGGAACATACTTGCAGTGGGTTCTCCAAATTCCCAAAATGAAGACAGAAGAATGTACTATCAACCCTTTTTATTCCTATGCAAACCTTGGATGAAAGCTATGTTTAATAGCAAACACTGGAGAGCTGGACTTGGAAAACTTTTTGTAACGTAACTCCACAGAAAAGAACATAAAGAGTTTCCTCCAAAGCCCACTGGCTTCATCAAAGCCATCCAGATGTTGTGAAGGACAGGTGCATACTTACTTATGTCTGGATGATGCCTTCCATCACTAATACAAACTCCACAGAGTTCAAGAGCTTTTTTTTTTTTTTTTTTTGGTTCAGACCCCAGAGTTCAAGAGCTCTTTTTTTTTTTTTTTTTTGGTCAGAAGTTATGTGTTTGTTTTCTGTTCTTGTTTTTAGCTGCAGAGTAAACTAGACTGTCCCCTGAGTCTGAACCTTTTGCCTCTATGCATCCTTCTCCAACGTGTTTATTCTAAAAAGTGGAGAGGGCGGAACCAGACTTCTCAAAAATATTGAGTATTTTACTTTAAAAACTTTGTATTTTTAAGGAATACATCAGTACACTGTGATGTGGAAATGCATCTGCTAAAGAGTAACTTCTGTCCCTAACTGTAACTTTCACTCAAGTCACCACAGCTAAGAGCGGAATTTGGCTCGTGAACTCTTCAAATGCCTTTCAACTCTCCCTGCCAACTGGCAATTGCATTTTTGTTACACTGGGGCTCTGCACACATGAGCAATGTAAATTTTGTGAATACCAAATCTGTTTGTAAAGCTCCCTCTGAAATAGAGAGGAACAGACCGCCTCCACGTTGCTGCAGCAAGCTGCCGAGCACTGGGGAAGGTTCATATGTGCTTCAGCAGCCCCTGCGGCACAGCTCCTGCGAACACTCCACAGCACACCAGACCTCACTAGGGCCTGAGCCAGGTCTTCCTCAGCTGCTTATCTTTGGTCTCACTCCTTGAAGGCCTTACTTCAAACATACCTGAGAAGTAGTGCACTTACATAGCAGAGACCTTCCTCGAAAGCAGTGCCCTGCTTCAGATTTTCAGTATTTCCTAGCATTACTAAATGACGGCAAAGACATGCTGCACCTCAGCAGTGTTTTCGAAGGTAGAACATTGTTTGTCCAATTTTTGAGAGGCTGCTGATCTTTGTCCAATACCAGGAACTTTCTTGTATGTTTTCATATCCAAGTTACAACCTCAAGTTCCAACCCATGAAAATTTTTAGCAGAGGAAACAGTTACATGCAAAATGAAGTGCAGAACCTTTACTTTTTGATTTTACTTTTTCACCTCTCTATCGGAAAAGCCCTCGTGACAGTCCATTTACCTGCATTGTACTGATGCACAAGCTCCTGTGGATTACAAACTGACTGAGAGCTGCAGACCGTTTGTAACTGTTCCTTCCATGCACCATTAGTAAACGACCCAGATGTTTAAATTGAGTAATAGAGAAATCAGCTGCAAGCGATGCCTGTTTTCCTTCCTGTGTACAACAGCAAGTAAAAGCATAGTGAGATCGTTTCATTACTGGAAACAAATAAATATCCTATTATTATTTAGTTAACACTGACAGAATTTCCAAGAAAATTTGCGATACATTAGGTGGGGTAGAGCATTACCTCAGCACTTCCGCCTTCCACCGTGGCTTTTAAGCAAAGAGCAAAAATATGAGGAAAATTCCCATTTGAACCCTGGCCTCCAACTCTAAGCAACCCCTCTGGATTACAATTCATAACACGCATGTTAACGTGACATTCATATCAAGTCAGTTTTGAATACAAATTTTCAGTCTCAAAAGTTCACTCAATTTTAATGTTTTGGCTCACTGCAAGCAGAGTCGTTCCACTGCCGCCAAATCCAGTCTTGTCACTCCAAGCAGCTCCATATGCAGGAACCAGAGCTCTAGCCCAGAGCTCTGGTATTGCTTTCTCAAGTAATACAACCAGGTTTTAGTTGTACATGTGGGGTGTATGTTATGAGAGTAATTGCAGCTCCAGCATTTGGAGCATCTACGCATGATTAAAAACCCCAAAACTAACCACGATGGTCCAAATTCAGGGAATTTGCCAAGAACCAAATAATGAACTTGAACTCTGTTAAACCATAGTCTCCTTTCCAGCCAAATTATTTTTCATGATAAGGCTATTGGTCTGATGATTATTCTTGTGGAAGCTTCTCACTTTCTTCCACAAATTCCTGAGGATTCGTTTAAGAGTTAGTTGCAAATCAGCTTCTGAATTGCCATAGGAAGTCTTATTAAACATGAGGTAATCCCACCTTTCCTTCAACTCCAACACCACAGTCAGCCTCCTGAATCATGCTAACATCATTCCCTCCATCACCTGCAGGTCAGAGCACAGACAAACGACATTGGTAGTTAAGCAACAGAGGCAACTTGCAACCCCACCAAAGGCATCTGCACCAGCTGCAATGTTAGAAGAAACACTGAATCCTACCAGCAAAAGCAGGATTTTAAATCGAAATTTGGAATTTAAATTCTTTAAGAAGTTTTTTTTACAGATGCACAGGAATTCAAAGCTACTGATCACTTAGATATGACTTGTAGCTGTACCATTACACCTGCAATGCTGAAACAAAGCTCACAGGTTAACAATGGCACTTTATCTGATCATATTCAAGCTCTGTTTTGCAAAGATACCACTCCAAATATTTATGAGTAGTTTGTCATTGAAGTTTCCACATGCAAAATTTAATCTTATCTATCATTCCACAAGAACATTGTTCCCTAACTCAGCAGTTCCAGGTGTTACGACACGGGACCGTTCACTCAAACGAAGAAACGACACCATCCGACATGGTCACTCCTCCCTGCCTACTCCCTTACCTACTGCACAGGTGAGTTTGCCGGTCCGTTCCTGGAGCAAGCGCACAATCTGGGCCTTCTGCGTCGGAGCACATCTGCAGCACACGACGGCAGGGCACTGGCAAGCCAGCTCCATGAACTCATACTCGTAGTATTTCAGACACACCTAATTTACAGAGATCAGAAGCATCACCGATGTTTGTGCTATGCAAGTTTCTTTTTTCAAAAAAAATCCTAACTCAGCCACAGTGTTTTGGGGTGGTTCCTGAGCCTACCTCGAGTGAGTCGCCAGAAATAACAAGAGCACAGTCGTGTTTCCGGCGGAAGGCGTTCAGCTCTAGATGGGCTTCTCCACGGTTAGTCACCTGGGGAAAAAGATGGCAACTGAGGAAGCGTTTGCTTCACTGGGGTGAAAAAACAAACAAACAAGTCTCAGAGGGAGCAAAAGTAATACTGACAGGCAGCACACCGAGTTACTCAGAGCACACAGTCAGGTAAACAAAAGCTCAGGGGATAAAAAGCTAAGTCAAAAGAATAAAAATATCCTGGCTTTACTGCTGGAAAACAGCTGTGATCTCAGCACTCCTCCTGTCCCAGAAATTAGGGTCCTGAACAAATCTTGAGAGAGGGGTACATGGGTGTTACTCACTAGTCTGAATATATGGATGTCCTGTGTCCGCGTCACCAAATGTGCGTTCTTGGCTGTACACGTGGCTGTCTCTAACTTATCCCCTGTCAGCATCCACACCTAAAATCCAAATATTTAATGTATTAAACACAAAACATAACAACCACATTCGCAGAACATCTAGAAGTACCACCTGCCAGTTCAGGCATATAAAAAGACTGTCAGAATATATCCACAAACTATTTTTCTAGAAAAGTCCTATTTTAAAAACATACAAGAAAATTCTCACAGATGAAAGAAAGCAAAGCTTTTAAAGAGGCTGAAACTGATGAACTACGTATGCAAAAGAACTGACAAGCTACGTATAACATTGTTCCCACCTGCAATATTTCAAGATTCTGCTGCTCAATCCATGAAATGCAAGCTAAAGAATGTGTACACGTGTGTTAACGTGTCCCACCCCAGCTATTTCTCGTATGCCGAAACAAGCAGGCCTTGCTGCAGAAAGATCCCTCCTGGCCCTGCCTGCAATGTGGATGATGCAACTGGGGTTAGCTCACTGCTGATGTGTGCGTCTGGAACAGACTAAGTTGGTTGGGCTTTTTTTTTTTTTTTTTTTAAATATACACTGCTCTTTTTACTTTGTGCTGGTGAGGGGGGGCATTAGAACGCAACATCAGCAGTAACACTCAGCAGCAAAACCCAGTTATAACCTGTCAGGGAATTCCTTCAACAGTGTCACTATATCAAGAGTTTGTTTTGGTTTTTTCTCTGGTGTTTTTATTCTTTCAAGACACTGCCCTACAATATTTAACAAAATTTAAAAAGAAGCCCCCAAAACAAGAAACATGCAAAGACTCACTTATTTGTTTAATAATCTCAGGCTGGAAAAAGATTTGACCTTAACAAGATGGTCCCTGTAATGAATCACAAGACCGCCTTCACTCTTGACGGACTTCTTGCATGCCAAGCCCTCGCGAACACACCCTTGCAAGGCGTGCTCAGAAGTGCCGCGCTCGCTGTGCAACAACGCGCTCCACGCCCTGACACCAACTCCAGCCCAGGTGAAGAGAAAAAATGAAACCACGTTGGAGTAACCAGCCTGGACTACGCCGCAGGGGCCAAAGCCATGACGCTGCTAAGGAGCTTTGTCTGCTTCTGCTCATCTCCGTTCTCTGCTGAAGGCCCTGATGCTTACCGGGACGGCTCCAAACAGACAGCCCTTTCGGAAGCCTGTCTCGAGCCTTGAATTCCACTTCCTGCCTGAATCCCAAACACACTGCCCTACTTTGGATTCCCAGCGTGGCTCGAGATTTTTGCTCACTTTGTTACTTCAAGCAGAGAAACCACAACCAGAACCTTCTACCTCCTTTTCTTACCCAAGCCCGAACGTTTAGCCAATTTTTGTTATTTTTTTTTTTTTTCCTTTTGCCAGTCCAGGATCTGACTGACAAGTTTTCAGAGAGAGAAACCAAGCAGGCATCACACCAGTTCCCTCATGGCTGAGCACAGCTCGGGCCGTAGATGTCCAAGTCTTAGATAACAGAGCCCTGAGAGCTGGAAAAACCAAAACTGTCCCGTCCCCGGATCCCTTGGCTCAGACCCCCCTCTAGTGGCTCCTGATCACACGGAGAGCCACAGCCCAGTGCTTCAACCCCCCGGCACAGGAGTTAGCGTGACAAGCACATCCAAACTGGTCTTGTTTCATCCAACCACCTGAAAGAAACCATCGCCCGAGTGTCTGCTGCAGCTACGCTCCTACCCGCGCATGCAGCTTCTCTGCAGAAGGAGGCAGAGCGTATTAGGGAGAGTAAAGCACAAAAGGTAACGCGCTTTCACGTGTTCAGTTAACATTCGCTGCTTCCAGCATGTTCTGTTCCCAAAGTGATGTTTTAAAACGCATGGGCCAGCCCCACTGTTCCCACTGGCAAAGGGCACCCGGTGAAATGTTCACCCTGACAAGGCCCGCAGAATGCCATAGCGTACTTTCTGCAGGACAGGGCCACGTACTCCAGAGGGTCCAGGTGTTCCTGCTACAAGCAACATTAGGTTAGGCAGACCTTAATGCCGGCATTTCTCAGCGTCTCCAGAGTGGGTCTGACGTCCGTCTGCAGCTGATCCTCCACGCCAGTGAGACACAGCAGCTCCATCTCCATCTCCAGGCTCTCGATGACTGTGGCTACCTTCAGGGAGCGGTCGTGCACGCTCAGCTTCGCCTGGACGTAGCGTGCCTGAGGACAGAGCAGACACAGCCACAGCCACTCACACAGCCAGGCTGCATTTCTGTGGAACGCAGGGCTAACCAGCACGAGGGTTCACCAATTAACCTCCTTCTGTTAACCGTCATTCAGGGGTGCCACCTGTAATGGCTTGTGAACATGAGATGCGTGTCACAGAATAAGGTAGAAAATAGTTCAGGAAGTTTTTGTCTTCCTGTTCCTTTCTGTTTGGGCGGCACGGCGCGCAGCACGTCCTTGTGCGGGCGAGTGCTCAGCAGCTGCTGGAGCAACGCTGCAGAAAGCCGGGAAGCGAATCCCTCGCACTACAGGTCTCACCATGGCTTCTGTGATGAACAAACAAGGGCCAGAGAGAATCCTCAGCATTCCCACTGTCTCGTCTCTGCATTTAACTGAACAGCTCTCCCTCACGTTTTGCCTGCCTGAGGTGAGCAAAGCAGTGCTGTGTGTAGAGACCCATCTAACAATCCCTACGCATGAAGCCTGGCTTTCCACGAAGCCTGGCTGGGTTATATTCTGGTTGTCTGTAGTTTCCCCGAGTGTTGGAATGCAGGCATGAAAATTAAAAGCCAACACATTTCCCCACACAAACACAACTTATCTAACAAATGATGAATATTTGCAGAATTTATAACCACCGAAGACTGTAAGACAGGATTCAGGAACTGTTTTGGAGGGTCCTGGCTGGGATCCAGTGTCATACGTATCACTTAAAAAGCTACTTTGATTAAAAGAACAGCAAGACATTGAAGAATGACAATTCTAGCAGAAGGAGCAGGGAGATGAGAGGCGGCATTATCATGAGAGGTCTGTGAGAATCACTTCAGTGATTGTTTGTTTAAAAACAAAGGAAAAAAAACAAATAAAGACTTACTTCAAAGTCTTGATACTGCTCTTCCGTCAGAGACTTCTTGGCTACAACAAGAACCCTCAGGCCTTCCCGAGCCATGTTGCCACACTGGGAAGAAGTGTCACATTGTAAACCATAAACTGCATCTCAAGTAAGATGATTTATGCACAGCATTGCAGAGATGGCAATGTAAGATAGCAGGTTAAGAAAATAACCGTCCCATTTGAGCAACCCCAGTAAGTCTGTAACATCTGATAAAGTGCATGATAAACCCCGAGAGGGAAAAAAAAAACGGAGATCTGCGACGGTTTGTAATCTATCCCAGTGATCAGAAACAAAAATGTCCTCTCTGCTATACCAGTGTGGCAAAAACAACCCCATTGATCTCATTTTCTCTGCCTCTAAGGACACAAGCCTTTGATTTGTAGACTTCACATCTTTGGCCACAAACTCTTTAAAGTAAGACGAAGGTGGTACTATTTATTTGAACACCAGAGTTTGGGGGTGGGGAGAATCAGCAACTGAAGCTACTGCTATGACTCTGCGTCAACATTGCTCCTAACCTGACAAACACATCCCAGTACAAAGCTGCCAAATGTAGTTTTGAAACTACAACTTTTGGTCTAAAATAAATCCAAACACAGGATCAAGCCCAGGACAAATTTCGTGATCTTGAGTGGCAATCAGTTTTAAGCAATATCCATTTTATTTACAGGACTTCTTCTGCATACACATGTTGACCTCGCCACCTGACTTCCTTGTTACTGCATATATATTTGGCTGAAGACTAATCCAATGAACTGCCAAGATCAGTGACCTTCTGGCTCGCAGATGATTTAGCAGTTATGTCCACTCTGCCACACTGACAAGCTTTGTCATGCGTTGCCCTGGAAGGAGAAAAGCACTCGCATGAGAAACCCTTCGTATGCAGGAGATCCGGCCCCGTACCTCCTCTTCCAGCCAGTCGTTGTACTGCACGATCCCAGCCATCACCACATCAGCCCCCTTCATGTAGAAGGTGATCTCTCCTGTTGATTCATCCTGCAGGTAAGAAACAGAAGAGTTTAAGTTGGGCCAATGTTAGCGTATTTGGAGCGGCCTCAGCAAGTTAAATGATGAGTTTTCTGCACATCAGTCAAAAATGTCTACACTGGGTCAGGCTGAAGGTCCACTTGGCTCAGCATCTTGTCTCGGGGCCAAAGAGAGATG